TTTTTCTTACCGGGACCTATGAGTAATTTCCCCTCTCCAACAGACAATAAAATTTGTATTTTTTTTTCCTGCCTATGATCAGGTTTTGTCTTAGCATTTCAAAGGAAAAATGCCATGTTGATTTGCATAGATTTTTCTCTCAGTAGAGTTAGAGGAGCGAAATAGACAGATACTTGAGTTAAATGTTTTAGTGTAAATTCCTGGCTAAGTTTAGTGTAAATTCCTGGCTAAGTTACAACTGCTAGAATGTCAAAGCAGCATCTTTGTGGATTAGGGATGAGGAATGCTTTTGACGCTATCTTGATGGAGCTAGTACATCTTGAACATTGAATTAGACTATTTTGTGTGTCTTGAGTCCTGATGTATTGTTGGGGTGTGGGTGTGCATGCATGGGCATCTCGAGACCTGATTTATTGTTGGTCCTTTGTGTATTTCTGTAGGAGAATCCTTTACAGAGTTATCCTGATAGACATAATTGATTGCAGGTTTTACGTGGTGCAGAAAGGGGGGAGACAGCTGCTCTTTTTTCTTTCACCTTTATTGCCAGTTTTCAAGAATCCATCTGATGTGCATTTGCATAACGGAAGCCAGTTTTACGTTCTTCTTGACTGCTCCTCTGTCAGCATTTTGCCAGATGGTTGGCCTGTCCCCGAGTGAGGTTGACAAGGTTGGTTGATCTGAGTAGTCCTTGATGTCTCTTAGCGCACCTTGATTCTTGGCATACTCATTGTTGTGTTTAACATTAGGATGTCTATAATCAAGCGGAGACCATTCTTGCTAATGCCTTTGCTGAGTGGGAAATAATTCTATGCTCATCAACCACTAACTTGGATTTAGTATGGGCTCAAATGATAACCGATCCATTTTTGCGGCGGCTCATTTTAAGGTATCTTGGTTTTAGCTTCTGGTGGATCAGTGGGTTTTTTTTTAAAAAAAAATAAATAATTTGAATTTTTGCAAAACTTCAATTTTGACTATTTTATGTGCGGGTGAACCAACTTCTGTGTGATGTGTATTATCTACAGATTCATCTTCTGCCGGTCAGCAATCTCTTTTTACTGCCCACCTGAAGAAAGTGAGCAGTGTATGCCGCTCTGCTTGCCTCACCTGCCCCACATCTGTTGCACCGGCTTCTGGAGCCGTTCGTACTGCCGTTGTTCAGATTGCTACGCACTTCGTAGTGGCTGACTCCTTTCACACTTTAGTGATACCTAATATTAGAAAGAAGTTAAAAAAATTCATGCTTTGGGCAGGGGCCGAGGATTCTCAGCTTGACAGGAAAGTTGACAAAAATACCGGTGGACTTTTATAGTCATCATCACAGGAAGTCCTTGGTGGGGCTTTGGCTGGCACTATATGGACCAAATTTGTTGGTTATAGGTGCCTCTGCTTGGTCTATTGCCATGATTCAAGTTCGATTCCTCTGCTCCATTGGTCTATGCTGTATTTGTTGGTTGTTTATACTTTTGTTCTTATAGTTGGTCCTCGGGTCAGTGCCTGATGAGTATTTTTTGGTGTTTGGGCGTGGCAAGCTAATATTTAGTTTCAAATTATATTGTATCTGTTCATATCAATGTAAAAGAGGAGTCAGGAAAGTTTTATTTCCCCCCCTTTTCGAGCAGAATCGGACGGCACAGAAATAAACATTGAAGAAAGAAGGAAATGCAGTGATGAATTTCAAGGTGGCATTGGATGGTAAAAGATGCCTCTGATGATGTAATTGTTGTCAGAATATTTTGACTATTTATTTTCGTTTAAAAAATGCAATATAAAGTGGCAAAATTTCTAGACATAGATCGAGTTTCGTTTGTATGGAGTCCAAGAAATAAATATGAATAGTATAATTTCATCTAAATTTCGCATATACATATTGATTAATGATATTGATGAAGATTTATATTGAGGTTGAACTGGGTCGTTGTTAATTAATTGCTTCTTCTTCTTACAGTTAAGGTTAAGATGCAAGTATTTTCTCGGGTTCATTAAGTATTTTGGCGCTTTGATACTGGATGTACTAGATAATATTTCTGGGTGTTAGACGCACTTAAAAATATTTTAAGTTATTAGATGTATTAAAAAATATTTTAAGGTGTTGGCGTATTTAAAAAATATTTTAATTAAATACTTTAAAATACTGAATGTATGATAAAATATTTTAAAGTATTGAATTTATCCTAATTCTTTGATAATCTCGGTATAATGGGAAGTGAGGAATTTCTTGCAGCCTGTACTTTCACTTTATGGTGCACAATTAGGCAGTGATATGGCACTTCTTTGTTTGGAATTACTTTTAAAAAGTACTAATAAGCACACTTATCTAAGTAAAATAAAACCATTGTCGTATGCTTATATGATATTTTCAAAATTATAATTGAAAACTACTTCTGCTATTCCACCAAACAGGCTCTTGAATGGCAAACATTCGCCTTTTTGTTTTTGCTTTTAGCTTTTAGCTTTTAGATGAACTGGGTTAACCAATGCTCCTAAATGTCAGAACCAATTTACATGCATTCAATGCACTTTTCCTGTTTTGGGCTTATGGGCCTCGTGTCTGAGCCAGCCCAATGAAAAACAGAAGAAGGAAAATAAGAAAAGGAAAAACGCAATACGATGTTGGAGGCGCATGCTGGAAAAAATTCCTGACGTGCTGGCCTTTTAGAAGCGCCCACTGTAAGTTACGCTAATTAAAAAGTCAATGCAGCGTTATTTCATACCACCCCTCGCTTGTTTTACGGAGCAAGGCGAGATTATTATAATCATATTTTTACCAATTCTAACGGTGACGAGGGAAGCAACCAATGGGGAGCGAGCAATGATAAATCACGATCCGTGTCTTATCTCTGTAATGAAATCGCAGCCGTTTATCTAGCTCCAGAAAACACAGCGAAGCACTGTAGCGACCGTCCGATTCTTGCCAAAGGAAACACACGGATACTGATTTCTACCCGTCCGATCATTTCGTGTCCCCTTTATCACACGCTATTTATAGCTCATCGGTTGGAGCCCGTTGGAAACTTTTGATTCTTCTCACGCAGATTCAGCGAGGGACGCAGGAAGGAAGAGACAAGGAAGACGCTTGTTGCACGAGGTGAGATTATTTCTGCAGTTGAGGAATTTAGGGTTTAAGGTTGTCGTTGTTTGGCAACAATTTTAGGAGTTTCCTTTTCCTTGCAATCTACTGTTAAGTAGCTCGATTCTTGGATTACGTTGAAGAGATCCGCGCGCGGATGTTGAGTAGATTAGATCATTTAGTTGAACGGTGGAATTTTCTTCGCTCAATCGCTCTTCTTTTCATATCTTACTAGTGTGCGTGCCTTAGAATTATGCACGTTTCTTGTCTTTAGGTCATCTGCACTGAATGAACTTATTCTTTATATATATGTATATATGTATTTAATTCTCCTTCTGGCTTAAGGGAGAAATAGCATTAATCAAGGGTCAAATTTTGACGAGATCCGTCTTACCAATTCGTAATGTGTGATTCTGTGGGCGTGTTTGTGTTTGACGTGGACTTACGATTGCTTTTGTTTATTCCTTCCTGTGATTTTGCCCCGTTCCTTTAAGTTTTTCTTCTCATAGGGTTTAAAATCATGTGATGCATGATTTCTTTGGGGTTTCTGCTTCTGTAGTCTCCCTTGTGGCTGGCTTCTCTTGCATTATTCGTGTTGACTTTTTCCCCCCTTGTAGCTGGAATCTTGAATATTTTATGGATAATTTCGGTTTGAATTTAATTTAGTTTCATAATTTTTTGATCGTATTTCTTCCAGATGGCTCGTACTAAGCAAACTGCTCGTAAGTCTACTGGTGGAAAGGCCCCCAGGAAGCAACTTGCCACCAAGGTTTGTTTACATCGGTATTATTATGTAGAAAATTTCCGATAGGTTTATATGTTGTATTACAGTCTTCTTATCCAATGTATTCATCATGGTTTTAGGCTGCTCGTAAGTCTGCACCAACCACTGGTGGTGTCAAGAAGCCCCATCGTTATCGACCTGGAACAGTTGCTCTTCGGTGGGTGAAGGGAATTTTTTTGGGGTTATGTCGTTTTATTTTAAGTTTGGTATTTTCCAGGGCTGATAATCGTGCTTTTTGTGATGACAGTGAGATTAGGAAATACCAGAAGAGCACTGAGCTTTTGATTAGGAAACTCCCCTTTCAGAGGCTTGTGCGTGAAATTGCTCAAGACTTTAAGGTACGGTGGTTATTTGTTGTTATTGTTCTTTAAATATTTGGCGTCCAGTGAAGATATTGATCGTATTTGGTTCTGTGGTGGCAGACTGACCTTCGTTTCCAGAGCCATGCTGTGCTTGCATTGCAAGAAGCAGCTGAGGCATACCTGGTTGGGCTATTTGAGGACACTAACCTCTGTGCCATTCATGCCAAACGGGTCACAATCATGCCTAAGGATATTCAGCTGGCTAGAAGGATCCGTGGGGAGCGTGCTTGAGTTGTTGTGCTAGTTGTGAAGATAGGATGGCTGCTAAGTGTTTATTCGTCTGTTATATTTGATTGAAACAAATTTTAGCTGTGCCTTACTGCCTTTTGAAGGCATTCACTGTTGGGTTAGATGATTTGTGATAGGCAGATATTGTGTAAAAGATACAATGGTTAAAGGGATCGTGTTTTGCTTAATGTTAGAACTCGGTAGATGTGTTAAAATTGGACTTTCTGGTTCTTATGTGTGCGGCCAAGCTAAATTGTATTTGGTTAACATTTTGTTGCCATCTAATCTTAGTGTAGCTTGTTCCAAACCCACTTTCCAGCAGTAGTTCTATTCTGTACACTACGAATTGATTCTGTTACGCACCTAAAATGGCTTAGAATAAACTACGAATTGTCGTTATTTGTATTATTCGTGGATGAGCGTTTTATAATGGAGCGACAACTCTCGTAGGAGTAATGTGGCCAATGTATATTAGGTGATGGTAACGGTTTGTTCATCGCTGTCACGGTTTGGGGTCGTCCTATCGTCTGTTAGATCAGACGTATCGAATTATGGGGAAGCCAAACCCAGAATTCATTGGCTGGCAGCTAAGGGCTTAGCGCTCGTTATATGTGTTGCGAAGTTTTGGGTGCGAAATCGAGTTGACCTCTTATTTTTTACTTCCGTTTCTTTCGCTCAAATGTGACGACGGATTTGCTGCTTGTAAGACTTAAATTGAGGAAGCCAAATTAATCATTAATCATTTAATTATGACGTCAATCATTTAAAATTAAATAAATGTGACATGATTTTTGAAAATATTTCTTTATAACATCAATACTTTTGAATAATATTATATTATATATTAGTTTGTAAGTTAAATAAATTAGTTAGAAATGAATTAAAATTAGTTTGAAAAAATAATTGATGAGAAAATAGATTGGGGTTTTATATTTATAATTAGATAATTTTCCAACAAGCTGTTAAAACTTAAAAAATGGATTTGACGTATTAAAAGAATTTGGTATATTTTTTATGTGGAAAAGACTAAAATGCCTTTGTAAATTAAAAACAAACCCTAAGCAGCAAATAACACGGCCAATCGAAAGTTCGAAACTAGAAGAGCAAAAATAATCAAAACCACTGTAATCCTCCAGGAAATCAATGGTCCTTAGTATATTATTCGCTTTGTTGCGAAGTAATTTTATTCTAAGAGCCAACAATTCAGTCCAGAATTAATTTAAAAAAGTGTTTGGCAATCCTTAAAGTGTTTTTAATACTTTTTTACAAAACGAAATAAAATTCTTTACATATTTACTTTATAAACTGTAAAAATATTTTTAAAATCAAAGTTTAGTTTCTATCCAAATACTGAACAAATAAGATACAGTGAAACCAGATCCAAAAGCCCAAAAAACATGTGGCCAAGTAGGACTTTGTCAGGACCAAAACAGGAAGATGCATTTCAGGCACGTTGGCTTATAGACTAATTTAAATAAATTAAAAAATTTATTAAGTTAATTATTTAGAATAAATAGATATTTTCTTCCTAAAATATTATTAATAATCATTTTTATGAGTTAGAATTACTATTAGATAAAACTCTAAACATTTGTAATTATTATAAGAACTACCTTAAGAAAAAATAGATAAATATGAAAAATAAATTAGATTGGAGTTTTATATTTAAGACTGAATTAAATTTTAAATTAATTTTATATTAAATACCAAAAATAATATTTAAAATTAAATTAAATATTAAATTAACTTTTATATTAAATAGTTGTACATAGTATTTTGCATGAATTTCCAGATAGCGTAGTCTTTTGCTGGCATTGCAATTTGAATGGCAAATACAAGCTTCACGCATTTATTCGGGCATAACCACAATTGTTAACCCAAAAAATAAAGCACCGTACATTATTACTCAGATGAATATACTGTAAAACCCTTTTATTAGCGGCCTCATTCATTGGTGCCTCCGATTAGGGGTTCAAGGCCGGTCCGTTCCGGTCCGGTCTTATTGGGACGGGACGATCCGTCCCGAAATTTTTGGGACGGGACAAACCGGGACAGGATACGGGGGGGGTCGTCGTCGTCGTCCCGGTTTTTTTTTTAATTTTTTATATAATATCATTTTTTTCATATTTTTTTAAGATTTGACTATTGTATGGAACTATGGATATTTATTTAGAGTTTTTATATTTGTTAATGATTTGAGATTATTGATGATTAGAATTTTTAGTAAGTTTTTATTGTGTTAAAGCTTTTGTTTAGAGTTTTAATGACTATTATATGTAATATTTTGAGCTTTTGTTTAAGAGTGCCCAACAAATAAAAGAGATGTTTTTATAAGATTTAAGCTCAAAAAAATATAATTAAAAATAAGATTTTTTAAAAAAATTAAAAAATTAAAAAATTTAAAAAAAAATTTCAGGACGTCCCGGTCCCGTCCCAGATCTGTCCCGTCCCGACCGGGACCGGGACAACCCCGGGACGGGCCGGGACACGGGACAGAAAATCTGTCCCGTTACTGTTCATCGGGACGGAACCGGGACGGGCCTGTCCCGGTCCCGATCTGTCTTGTGAACACCCCTACCTCCGATAAACCTAATTATCCATATAACTAATACCAACATGATTATGAATATAACAAAAATTAAATCATAAAATTGTTACAAACATTTTATACATCATGAAATCATTGTAATTGTTATTGCTATTTACTGCTATCTTTTGTCTTTAATATAAGACCTGTTTGACTTTTATTTTGGTCATAAATATAGGACCTCAATCTATTTTGTTTATCATATTCATATATTTTTTTAAGTAGTCTTTCTAATACTAATAGTTCTAGCCAACACACTTGATTAGTAAGGATATTTTAGAAAAGACAATATCTATTTATTACAAATAACTAACTTAACTTATTTCCTTAATCTTTTTAAATTAATCAACTAACTTTTATAATTAGGACTAGAGGTAGTATCACATAGGTAGAGTTATTCTGTGGATTATGTAAACAATTCTTTTATAGTAGATAATATTATCTCTCATCACCATAATCATTCAATAGTTTTAATTAAAAAAATAAACTCACCCCAAATTGGATATATTTATAATTTATTGAGTTAGACACTGGTATTTATAACTTAAGCTAAAGTATATGTTTAATCCTCTAACTTTATGTAAAGTTTCAGTTTGATTCCTTAACTTTAAAAATATACTTTTAGTCCTTTAATTCTCAAAATTAATAATTTTAAATGATGATTTTTGTAACAATTATGTTGTTTTGAATATTAAACTTAATATCTTAATATTTAGTAATTTATCAGTATTCAAAAGCTCAATATCATTATTTTTTATTAATAATTTTAGGATTCAGGACTACTTTTTAAAGTTTATCAGTTTACTTTTTAAAGTTAAAAAAACAAAATGAAACCTTGTGTAAAGTTAAATGACTAAAAATATATTTTACCTATAATTTATTATAAATTTCGAATATTGTAATTTTCCATTAGTTCCAAATCTTTTTTGTAATTTTTTGCTACCGATAGATATGTGGATGTATAATGTATTGAAATTGCGGATCGTAGATAAATATATACAATAACGATAAAAAGGTCACGGCCAAATAATAATAATAATTTTTCCGACTCTAAAAAGTGTCACTAGAATAACCAATAAGAAGCGAGTAATCCTAAATCACGATCCGCGTCTTATCTCTTTAATGAAATCGCAGCCGTTAATTTAGCCCCAGAAAACACAGAAGAGCACTGTAGTTACCGTCGGATTCTTGATAAATAAAACACACGGATAATGATTTTTATCCGTCCGATCATTCTATTGCCCTTGTTAACACGCTATTAATACCCTGCAGCTACACGGCCGTTGGAAACTTTTGATTTTTCTCATACCGACTCAGCAAAGAAGGAGGAGAGAGAGAGGGTAAGCGCGCTCGAGGTAAGATTTCTTTTGGGATTAAGGAAATTAGGGTTTAGAATTGGCGTTTGTATTAGTTATAATCTTGAGTTCCTTTTTGTTGAAATTGAATCTTTAATAATCTGGTTTCGGAATTACTGTGAAGAAGTCGGCGTACGTGTTTCGAGGAGGTTCTATGAATTTCTTCTCCAATCTCTTCTCATGTCATCGTCTTCTTCGTAGATGTTCCTAGAAATTTTGTGGTTTGCTTGCTATGTTGGTCTGGTCGTTGACTCAGTTATGAGATCCGTCTAATTAACCTGTGTTCGGTAATTGGGCGCGCGACTTTGTGTTTGATTTAGACTTACGATTGGTCGGGTCCATGCCTTGTGGTTATCGTTTCGCTTCTCATTCGTCCCTTCTTCTCTTCTATTAGTGCTTCAGTCGTATGATTGCTCCATCATTTGTTCTTTGGTTAGGCTTCAAGCATTAATTTTCGGGTTTCTTTGCTGTGTTGATTGCTTCATTTTTGTTGAATGGAATATCATCTCTTTATTCTAATGGGTTGTTGTTCATTGTTATTAGCGTAACAATTCGATGATTTCATTGCTCTAATTTATATAGATGGCCCGTACGAAGCAAACTGCTCGCAAGTCAACCGGTGGAAAAGCGCCCCGGAAGCAACTTGCTACCAAAGCTGCCCGTAAGTCGGCACCGACCACTGGTGGTGTGAAGAAGCCTCACCGTTATCGCCCTGGAACAGTTGCTCTTCGGTGAGTTGTTCGTGGATACATGTGTTTCGTCATGCGAGAGCACGCGCACACATGATGAGTGAAGCTGTTTGTTGTTATACTAGGTTTGTTTTGTATGTGTCTGAATTTTTCTTTTTTGTGATGACAGTGAGATTAGGAAGTACCAGAAAAGTACTGAGCTTTTGATCAGGAAACTCCCTTTCCAGAGGCTTGTTCGTGAAATTGCTCAAGACTTCAAGGTATCGTGAATATTTCTCGTTGGCATTCCTAAGATGTTATCTCTTCTTGGAAGATATTGACAGTTCCGCGTTCTGCGATGGCAGACTGACCTCCGTTTCCAGAGCCATGCGGTGCTTGCATTGCAAGAAGCAGCTGAGGCTTACCTAGTTGGGCTTTTTGAGGACACTAACCTTTGTGCCATCCATGCCAAACGTGTCACAATTATGCCTAAGGATATCCAGCTGGCTAGAAGGATTCGTGGGGAACGTGCTTGAATTGTTCTGTATCTTTCTGGGAAGGGAGGATGGCTGCTGTTAAGAGTTTATTATTCAGTTTTATTTCATTTAGAAACAAATTTTAGTTGTCTTCTTAGATTAATTATGATAGGCAAATACTATGGAACAGATGTGCCGTTTAAATGATTGTGTTTTGGTTTTAGAATTGGGTAAATGTGTCAAGCTTGCAATGTCTAGCTCTTATTCTTGTGCGCGGCCACGCTAATTTGTATTTGGCTAACATTTTGTTGCCATTAAATATAAGTGTAGTTCGTCCTAAAGTTTTCGCCCATGATATTTGGCCAGTTCTTCACCTTGCCACGTACTTGTCAGGCTTGGTTACAATGTAGATTGTGAATTGTTGCGCACTTGTGAATTCCTGTGCATCGCGATCAAATTGCCTTTGGTTTTTGATTTGTTAAGCTCGGGCGTGTGTAAGTAAGAATGTTGTCTAATGTGAGGGGATGTAACTGTTGTATGTTTGTGCGTTCCTTAAAAGACGCTTATGAATCTCTAAATAATGTCAGGTCTGCTTCAGTTAACCAAAAAGCGTTAAACGTTAGGTAGTCCGATGGGAATTAATTGCACGGCGCTCTTCCGAGTTCAACCTCAGGATCGCCTCGTTATTGGGCATTAGTTGAGTGAACACGGTTTGCTTGATGTTTTACATTCGCGTCTCTTGATGATGCTTATGTTTGAAGTCTGGACGATGGGAGAGGGCTTTGAGGATGCTTATTTTCACGGCACCATCATTTGTGGGGTTTTAATTTTCCTGCGTAGTCCTCGGATATTAACATCCTTTTCCAAGTTGGATCTTTGGTGTTTTCAAAATTAATGTTGGTAGTGAAAAGGGAAGGTCGAAGAAAAATGAATGGCTTCTCAAAAGGGAAGAAGCTAGATATTGTCACCAGTAAGTGAAAACCAAAGGCATGAGTTTGATTGTCAGGTGGCATTGGGGGAATTTTGATGAATATGGTGTTAACGAAGAAAGGAACAAAAGCCAAATGCGATGGGAGCAAACTGTTAAAAAAGGAAAAACAGTAGTATCTTCCATCTTGGTTAAAGAAACGAGATCAACTACACGGCAAATGTCCTATGCTTCTATTAAAAACAGTGACAAATTACGGCCCAGGAATTTGCCTCAATTCGCCTCTAGGGTTTCCCTCTTGGGAATCAAATCAAAATGGAACGCATCATAGAATTAAAGTTATATATAAGAAGAAAATCACTTACATCATTTATCATTCATTTGAGGTAAATCTAGTAGGAAGTAAATGTTTTCGCCCCTCGTTTTCCCCTCCAGGCCATAATATTATCTCATCTCATCATGTCGCGGCTGTTGCTTTTAATAAAATTCATAAACCAATCGTGCATTTTCTGTTTTATTCTGATTCTTTCAATAGGATATTGAGATTATTTGACTCATTTTCTTAGGACTCCTTTTGGTTGATGAATATTGAATGTGACATTTTTAACCCCATCCATTTAATCATAGCCTCCCCATTCTCATCGCAAGGAGACAAGACAGCCATTATGCGTTCCAGCAACTTCTCCAAATCCTCAACCTTCCATCTTACCGCATCAGATGAGTCCTGGCTTTTTTGCCAGGATACTATAAACAGTACAAGATATTATCGAAATGCTACATGGTGGGAAGTATTTCCAGAAATATGTCACTGGAAGTCGTTCACGGTGAGAATGATTTTAAATTTCTAGAGAAGTCGTTCACGCCAAGAACAGCTTTGGGAATGTGACATTACAAAAATTGGAAGTCGTTCACCGCGTAAACAACTTCAGTTTTGTCCTCATTCAAAAAGTGCTCCAGCGTGCCTTCTCCTGATATTTCCATCACTTGTATTGTAGCTTGGTCAAATCAATCTATAAGATTCGCCATGTGTTGTTTGTTCGGTCCTCTCAGCTTGTGAAGGCATAGTGTAAAGCTGAAACTTGAAGTGATAAAAGAAGAAAAAGGGTATGTGGGAGTAATAAGTGCATGGTTCATATAATTGTTGCATGGTCTATATAATTGTTGCATGCTCCGATTTTTTTCACTATGGTTGCTTTCTTTCCTCATTCCACTCTTTCCTCTTCCTTAGTCCATTCTTCCTCTTCCATAGATATTGGCCATTTCTTCTTCTTTCTCAGTTGTTTCCTTCCTCTTCCAGTAAGATATTGGTGGTGTGTGCTGTATTGTGGTGTACTGCATTTTATTCCAACTTGAAGGTTGATTATTGATCTGATTAAGGTGCATTCTCTTACTTAATTTCTTTTTTAATTTTTATAGCAACGTTAGTATATTTAGTTAGGAATTTTTTGATATGTTGAGTTTGTTATTAAAGGTGAAGACATGTTGCTAATTTTCTTATAATAAAGAATAGAGTAGTACTAGTTAAGTATATTATATTACGTAATTGTATTCACAGTAGATATAACAAGTTAACAACCTAAAAAGAAACTAACTCTAATGTGTTTAATGGACCTGCAATAATTTTCATGAAAATGCAGAGAGGGCATACCTTTAACCAGAAAATATATATATATAAATATATATATCCATTAACATTATGGATGAAAATATGAAAATTGAAATGTTGCAGACGACGTTTTTTTGGCTAACTACGTAGTTAATATTTGGTTTTTGTAATAAAGGATTAAAAGGGGACGGGTATAAATGATTTGGAAGAAAAAAGTAATTAAAATATAAATCTTTTAAGACTCAATTCTTTTAGAGCAAATTCCCAAATTAAAAGTTCATTAATAAAAAAATCATGATATTAAAATTACATTTTATTTATGTTTTGACGATGTTGAAATCCAAAAGGGCAATAATATTAAATATATAATAGTTATTAAAAAGAAATAAATATTCCCTCAGAATTCATGTATTTTAAAAAATAATGCTAATTTATATTAGTTAAATTTCTTTAGCTAAAAATATGAAATATTGATTTTTTTTAATAAAAGAATGCATGTTTCATGTTCTTCTTGAAAGGCTTTGAATATATTTAAGGGTTAAGGTGCACCCAGCATCCCCAAATATTTTGCCAGGTGCACCCAGTGGCCTAAAGTAATTTATGGTGCAATTTTGCCCTCAAAGTAATTAAAATGGTGCACCGGTATCCCATGCTAACAGATCTGTTACTTTGACCTTTAAATTGATGAGTCAGCACAAGTTTGACCAAAATAATCTGACGTGGCATGTCTAATAAGCAGGTGATGTGGAATTTTTTTGGGGTTAAGGTGCATTCAGCACCCCCAAGTATTTTTCCAGGTGCACCCAGTGACCTAAAGTAATTTATGGTGCAATTTTGCCATCAAAGTAATTAAAATGGTGCACCAGTATCCTATGCTAACAGATCTGTTACTTTGACTGTGAAATTGATGAGTCAGCACAAGTTTGACCAAAATAATCTGATCTAGCATGTCTAATAAGCAGGTGACATGGCTTTTCTTGTTAATTCCATTGTTTTGTCTGAATATTACTCCTTTGGTCCTATTTATAAGGCACTTCTAGGATTTTCACACAGACCAAGGAAAACCTTAAATTTCATTAACTCTCATTTAAATTTTAATAACTTTTCAACTTTATCCCTATTTAATATACATTATACCTCATATAAACAAAGTCAATACAATAATAAATGAGGGGTAAATTTGTACATTCGTACAAAAAATTTCTCTCAGTGCCTTATAAATAGGACCAAAAAATATCTTCTCTCTCTACCCTATAAATAGGACCAGAGGAGTATCTCTGAAAAAATTTCTTGCTCTGAAAAAAATTCCAAGACCCGAAGAGAGCATTTATTGAACAGAGAAAACAAAGCAGTGGCAGACGAAAAAATTCCACATCACCTACTTATTAGACATGCCAGGTCAGATTATTTTGGTCAAACTTGTGCTGACTCATCAATTTCATAGTCAAAGTAACAGATCTGTTAGCATAGGATACCGGTGCACCATTTTAATTACTTTGAGGGCAAAATTGTACCATAAATTATTTTAGGCCACTGGGTGCACCTGGAAAAATACTTGGGGGTGCTGGATACACCTTAACCCTGAAAAAATTCCACATCACCTGCTTATTAGACATGCCACGTCAGATTATTTTGGTCAAACTTGTGCTGACTCATCAATTTAACGGTCAAAGTAATAGATCTGTTAGCATGGGATACCGGTGCACCATTTTAATTACTTTGAGGGCAAAATTGCACCATAAATTACTTTAGGCCACTGGGTGCACTTGGCAAAATACTTGGGGGTGTTGGATGCATCTTAACCCTATATTTAATTATGAAGGTTTTTTTTTACCTTATATTTATGTGGACTTGAGAACTTTATTCAGTATTTTTTTCTTTTTGTTATTATATCATTAATTTTAGGATATTTAATATATTATACATGTAATTTCTTGTATTACATTTCATTTGGAAGCTATTAATTGTTTTATTAATAAAAATAAATTGATATGTAGTAGTATATGTAGCATATGTCTATATGTATAGTATAATATTTAGAATATAGGTGTGTGTAGATATTTTGAAAAAATCAATTTCAAAAATTATATATTTGTATTATTTTTAATCATTATTTTTATTATCCTATAAATAATAGAACATAGGCTGAAAAATGAAATATATTCATTATAGGGAGTATCCTGGCACAGAAAATTTGTAAACAAAGATAAATAAATGATTAAATTTAATTAGGAATCATTTTTCTATGATATTAACATTGTGGTGAGACCATTTTGTGTATTTCTATGATATGATTTTTTTTTTTTTGGAAAAAAAGTAAAGGGATTGTGGAGTTAATTTATTTTCACAATTTAATTTTGATTGATTAATAATTATAACGTACTCCCTCTGTTCCTTATTATAAGAGACATTTGATACTTATGGCATGTTCCTATATATAAAAGACGCTTAAAAATTATCTCTACTTTTTTATGTTGATTTCCTATTTTACCCATATTTATTGTTTCCAACTCACACTCTCTCTCCCTCCCACTTCTTTTTCTTTTAATAATTTAATTGTTCTCTCTCATGCTTTCTCTTCTTATTAATGAGGGTATTTTTAGAAAAAAAATTGTACCTTTTACATATTGATTGTTCTTAACTAATTTTAACTGTTTTTTTATCAAGGTAATTCGGTTATTTGTCTCTTATAATAAGGAATAGAGGGAGTAATATTCAGGGAGTAGAATGGATCATAGGAAGAAGTTCGTGTGTGTATTTGCAAATGGACAAATTTTAAACGGCCCAACCGGTGTTATATTTGAGTCTAATAGAGTGAAAGTAATCAAAGTCGACCCAAATATTACTTTGGATAGATTGAAGGAAGTTGTTGGACGAAAGCTACGACTTCTTTCCAATCAGATTGCAACAAATCTAGTATACAAATATCCTACATGCATAAATCCACCATAGTACCAAGCATACAATTTGGAAGATGACTCAAATATAAAACAAATGTAGAAGTGACTAAAAGATTTTCAACTCAATTGACATGTGCAAAGTTGTATGCCAACATATATGATGTAGAAGATCATGGTCATGTTGAATCACAACTAATAGATAATTATGTTGGAAATACTCTACCATCAAGTTATAATGAGTTGAACATTGTCGAGAAAGAATCCATGTTTAGCAATCACATGAAAAATTCCCATCAATTAAAACCACGCCAAGATAGTGGCAACAATGGACCACTGTGTTCTCTTTTTCCAATGGAAGACATCATGGATGAACTTGAGGATGAGGATAAATATGATTCTTATGTAAATATTAGTGGTGGGAATGATGATGATGATGCAAATGATAATGATGTCAACAACAACAAGTATGACGAGCAGAACAATCACAATGATCTTGCAACTATTTTTTTTTTTCACATATTAATATTGAGTCTATTATGGCTCCTGAGTTTAGTGAAATAGAAGAAATTCTACCTTTTAGTGATAATGAAGACTTACATATTGGAAAGATGTTTATTAATGTCCGTGTTCTAAGACGTGCAGTCAAGATATACGCTGTTTGAGTTCATCACACATTTAAGATCCATTATTCATGTAACAAATATGAAGAATATCGATGTATTAACTATAGAGAAAATTGCAATTGGAGAGTGAAGGCTTGCAAGAAGGAGAACATAAGTTTTTGGTAGATTACAAAATATGGGGGCCCACACATGCCTGAATACATCATTAACTCAAAACCATCCAAAGTTAGATGCTGATGTGATATCATCTCGTACTGTGGCAATGATAACTGACAAGCCAGATGTGAAAGTGTTTCAAATTATTGAGAGGATGCAATCTATGTCTAGTTATACTATGTCATATAAGAAAGCATGGAAGGCAAAACAATTAGCAGTTGTCATTGCTTTTGGGAATTGGGAGACCTCATATTCCTTACTTCCAAAGTGATTAGCTGCAGTTTAACATTTTATGCCTGGGTCATGCGTACAATTTTCAAATAAACGGTGTTCTCAAGTCAATGGTCAACTAGTTGAAATATTTTGTTGTGTATTTTGGGCATTCAAGCCATGTATAAATCCGTTTCCACACCTAAAGCCCATTATACAAGTTAATGGAATATTTTTGTATGGAAAATATAAAGCCACGTTGCTTATGGCCATATCACAAGATAGTGATCGAAATGTTGTACCACTTGCATTTGCTATAGTTGAAGGAGAGACAAGATCTGTGTAGGAGTGGTTCTTGTACCTTGTGTATATAATAATGAGTTTAAGCTAATAGGAGATAAGACTTACTTGCCACAAATTGATCGTCCCACACTAATACCTGACCCATTAATGATTCGAGAAAAAGGTCGTCGTCGTTCAAGTCGCATACATAATGAGATGCATTGGACCACACTTGATGAACCTAATAAGTGTGGATTATGTAGACAAATTAGTCATAACCGCTTTACTTGTCCACAAAGATTGGCATATAGACAATGACAATGAATTATGTATTTCATTTTTCAAAAAAAATATTATGATTCATAAATAAGATGAAATTGCAATTAGTTTTTTTATTTTTATATTATTTGGATAATTTTTCTTCAACTTATGCAGACGCATTTGAAAATGGTGCAATTTTTAGAAGAGGTCATCAACTCAGGTCTAGAGGATAACTCTCTTCTACACTTGTAACCTCGACATATTTTACAACAAGTATGGAATGATAATGTAAGTAATATCTATTGACTATATATTATAAATTATATGCTTTGACATTGATTTTTTTACCTTTTCATTGTAGGTTTCTAGAATCCTACACACTAGATGAGTCATGCACGCTGATCAAATGATTGAGCCGCCCAACCAAATGATTGAATCTCTTAGATTAGGCGGATTCTATGGTGTTGCTCGAATAGGACAATTCGATTATGATCGAAGTTTAGTCTCAGCACTTGTTGAGAGGTGGCGTCCTGGGACTCACACCTTTCACACTACGCCTAAAGAGTGCACGATAACGTTAGAGGATGCAGCTATACAATTGGGCCTTTCATGTGTGGGACTTCCTGTCATTGGGAGAATTGACTTTAATTGGCTAGATGTTTGTTAATGGCTTCTAGTTATTAGACCACCGGCAGATAGAATGAAGTGGCGGCTACTTGTCTACCCAGCCCCCAATTCAAAATCAAAATGTTGAGAGACAAGAGTCTCAAGTATTTAGTCAGTCGTATTATATGCTAGCCTCATCGTCATCCCCTATCACCTCTCATAATCCTCCTCAAGTTGAGCCTCATTACATGTCACCTTCATTGACATCATCACATTCTAACTCACTGTATCCTACTCAATTTCAGTCGTTCATGTCATTATTTGATGATCCGGTGCTATTTTTGGCTAAATACAACGCTTCTTCTACTTTTGACCAAGGTGGTCCATCAAACGAAGCATTTGCCACCTCTCGGTAATCAATTTCTTTGATTGAATCACTTTGATTTGATTTAAATATACCAACTACACAAATAAATGAGACACTTGAATATCAAGAAGAAGTGAACATACAACAATGACTACAACGTATGAGAAGGAGAACAACATGTGGCACTGGAAGTCACTATTTGTTAGGTAAATCAATTTTTATTTTTTAATTAATCATTTTCTATTTAGTATACCATAATAATTTCATAATCATTATTGGTATTATTATGTAATCATTAGCACTTTCCTCTAATTATTTTTGCATAAATTTTAGTCCAAATGATTACAAAATTATTGTCTAATTATTTTTATGCGTTAGGTGGGCAAAGAGGAGATGAAGGACGCTATATATGGGGTCATGGTGTTGTTCTTGGAGTGGTGAACTTCTAAAGTTGTTTACTCTAAAATGAACTTTTATTACACTTAAATCAAGTCATGAAACAAATATTGAAGAAGTCACACCTGTCAAGATCGATTTTAAAAGTTGTTCACGGGAAGAACAACTTTAAATGTAGCATTTGAGGAAATAATATTCACTGTGTGGTATTTCGGTATTTTCTTTCTACTATTTATAGCATTGAGGTAAAAAAGCCGATGAGTCCTTCACACAATTCCCCAACTCCTACTGCAAAACTCATACAGAGCATTGTCTTTATCAATCCATTTATTAAGCCCGAAATTCAATTTTCTACCATTATTCATTCACTTCCCAGCCCACGTTCTTAACAATTTCTGGCCATAAACCTCCCAGTTTCTTCCACAGAACAGAGTTAGCTTGCTTCGCCAATCGTCACACAGCTCACAGCCAAATAGTATTTCTGCGGTATCTATTAGTCAGCGCATGTGTGCTCAGTTCCTGTGGCTTCGAGACATAACAGGGGCTCATTCATCTGCTTTGAAGTCCTTCAAATCAAACCCACCTATCTCCTTTGCAAGGCACATGGTCCTCCAGGTCACCATTTGCAGACGCAGTGTCCTCTTTTTCCCTTCCTCCCCCCAAATAAAATCATTGCTGCATTCTTTCAATTTCTCTACACACACCCATGGGAATATCCTCATGTAGCATATTATAGACAGGTACTTACTCAGTCACAGCTTGAACCAGCGTTAGCCTGAGAGGTTATTTGCTTTTCATCTGCACTTTATCCAGCAAGAACTGGAATTTCCCTTTTGATCTTAAACTATCATTAATTTTTAATCTTCCCGTGGGAAGTAAAATCTAGTTCTTTATATAACTAGTCAGTGTCGTTTGGCGTAATGTCGCAGTACAAGAATCAGAGCCCCACTTTGTTCTCAGCGCTATTCTATCGGCTTCGAAGTTTATGTTAAACACTTGTTCGTTACTCGCTTTTTGTCCGTATGCTGGCTCTCTTACTCTTCCACGGAGCCACTCTTAGGCAGGGGTCGCTCTTGCCTATAATCCAAACTCGAATATGTAGCAGCGTAATCTCTGGAGACTCAACGTTATCCTCCAATGTTGCGCGCCAATTCCTACTTCCACCTTTGAAGTTTATTTCGACTTGGGATGTATATCGTTGTAACGTCAAGATTGGTGTTCTAGCGCGAGAAGGAAACCTCGGTGCTGCCCAGAACTTGTTCGATGAAATGCCCACAAAGGACGTGGTTACTTGGAATTCTATGGTGACTGGGTATTGGCAAAATGGTTTTTTGGAAGAATCGAGAAGGCTGTTTGAATTGATGCCGGTGAAGAATGTGGTGTCTTGGAATTCCATGATAGCTGGGTGTGTGGAGAACGATATGGTAGACGATGCTTACAACTATTTTCTGACAATGACAGAGAAGAACACCGCGTCATACAACGCAATGATCTCGGGTTTTCTGAAATTTGACCGGATTCATGAAGCACAGAAACTTTTTGAAGAGATGCCTTCTCGGAATGTCATCTCTTACACTGCAATGATCGATGGGTATTGCAGGATAGGCGAGATCGGGCGTGCAAGGACACTGTTTGATGTCATGCCTCGTAAAAACGCCATCTCCTGGACGGTGATGATTGGTGGGCTCGTGGAGAATGAGGTTTATGATGAAGCAAGGAAACTGTTTGAACGAATGCCGCAGAAGAATACTGTTGCGAGGACAGCTATGATAACGGGTTACTGTAAGGAGGGGAAGATGGAAGACGCTAGACTCTTGTTTGAAGAAATCGGATCCAGAGATCGCATTTGTTGGAATGCAATGATAACTGGTACGCCATGTACTAAACATTATTACAGTGCGTGAGGTAATTTGTTGTTTGCCCAAGTTTTGAATTTGAATCAACTATAGCAACAAATTCCCTTTGCTTTGCATTGAATGTGTTATCTATTTTGATGGCTAATATTGTACAACATTCTATTGGATATATAGACTTTTCGACTCCTTATCTTGTATTTTGAAAAGCTTCTGGCGGCTTATTTGCAACGATCCAGAAAGTATGCAACAATCTAAGATATTGGTTCTATAAATATTCATATGTAGTCAATCAGATTTTTTTTTTTTCCCTCCCCGCCCTGGATGCTCTTGGTTGCTCTTGTAGACGTCAAAAACTTCGTCTAGCTTCTAAGATAGTTCTAATCTCCAAATGGATCTCATCAAAATCTGAGGTTCAGCACACCAGCATGGTATATGAAATGTGCCTAGTGCTCCAGCTCCTGAAAAGTGTGTTAAACTTGGGCATACTGGATAAAGCCCAAACATTTGCTTCCTTTAAATTCTTCAAATATCTGGCCATCATGTATGATGTGCTGGACTTTAAAAGCCGAATTAGATTTTCTTTAAATTGAAATGCTGTAAACCCGGCAGATTATTCTTTCTTCTGCTATATTGTTGTGTTTGGTTTCCTTAGTGTGACTTGCCTTCTCAATCAACTGTCTAACTGTTGGCAGGTTATGCGCAAAATGGGATGGGGGAGGAGGCAATGAATTTATTTTCACAAATGGTCAAGACTGGGATGCAACCAGATGACTTGACTTTTGTTTCAGTTTTTACTGCCTGTTCCAATCTTGCATCACTTGAAGAAGGAAGACAGGCTTATGCTCTAGTGATTAAGCATGGTTTTGAGTCAGATTTGTCAGTATGTAGTGCCTTGATTACTATGCACAGCAAATGTGGCGGAATTATTGAGTCCGAGTTAGCTTTTCAGCAAATTTATCATCCAGACCTTGTTTCATGGAACACCATCATTGCTGCATTTGCACAGCATGGTCTGTATGACAAAGCTCTCTCCTACTTCGATCATATGGTTTCAGTTGGTATTGAACCTAGCGGGATAACTTTCTTGAGTTTGCTGTCTGCATGTTGTCATGCAGGGAAGGTTGAAGAGAGTATGAATCTGCTTAATTTGATGATCCATAAATACAATGTTCCCCCACGGTCTGAACATTATGCTTGTTTAGTTGACATAATGGGTCGAGCAGGTCAGTTGCAGAGGGCCTTCAAAATAATCCAAGATATGCCATTTGAAGCACACTCCGCTATCTGGGGTTCTCTTCTTGCTGCCTGTAGTGTTCATGTTAATGTGGAATTGGGGGAACTGGCTGCTAAAAGAATTCTGCATTTGGATCCTTATAGTTCAGGTGCTTATGTTATGTTGTCTAATATATATGCAGCTGCTGGCAAGTGGAAGGATGTCAATAGGATCAGGATTTTAATGAAAGATCGAGGAGTTATAAAACAAAGAGCATGTAGTTGGCTGCAGATTGGAAACAAAACCCATTGTTTCCTTGGAGGGGATGCATCTCATCCAAATATTAGCGATATTCATGTTGCACTAAGGAGGATTACCTTACATATGAGGATGCGCAATGACAATAAAATATGTTTCTTGTAAGAAGACGTAATTTTAATAAAAACTACAAATTTTACAGGGGAAACACTGTATTATTGTTTTGGAGGCTCATAGGGGACATGTTAGGTGAGAAATGTAGCACCTCGAAGCTCTCTTGGAATTGGCCAGGAGCTCAAAGAGTCACTATTCATTTGGATAGTTCTGAGGAAGAAGAAGCTCCTCACAAACCTTGAGCGACACAAAAAGCTTGTTTACTGTGAAGAAGATCTTGAAGACATGAATCATGTACCACAAACTTGTATGCATACAACAAAAGATGTATGGACCATGCTGGTCCCAAATGATAAGCTTCTATCCTTTATGAATGGGAATTTTGGTGGTTGGCTCAAGGAAAATCTGAATAATGATGGCCAGAGAGGTGGGAGTATGTGGAGATGGGTTATCGCTTTTGGCTTAACCATATGGAAATTATGGGATTCTAGAAATAGGAGAGTTGTCGCTTTTGAGAACTTGAATGCAGAAGACATAGGCTCTGTTTGGATATGCATTTGGATCCTAAGAATCACATTTATTTGGCCAAACATGATTTTGAAATGTGATTTGGTCCGTTTGGTTAATTTCTGAAGCAGCCCATCAAGTTATGATTCTAACCTTCGACCATGCGTTTGAGAGAAGTGAAAAATAGTTGCTTCTGCGTTTAGGAGATCTTGCATTGAATCATCAAAACTTTTTCCGTTTAACCCCCTTCTCTTCTGTGTTTGCTGCTCCACATTTCTTTCCTGTAATCTTTGAACCAAAAAATTGCTTGATTTTGTTATCAATACGCAAAGAGATGAATGAAAGAGCTATGTTGAATGGGGGAATCCGCAAAGAGCTGCCAAGGCTCGGTAGATGGAGAATCATTAAAAGACTTGGGGGAAGACAAGATGGAGCTGAGCAAGGTGATGATTCCTTGAAACCCAATCCAATTTTCTCCAACATGCCAGTAGAAGCTGTAAGTTTCTTCCTAATAAAATTTTGTCGTTGATAAAGCCTTCTTATGTTCTGGGACTAACAATTTGATGTTAGAACATCAAGGTTGATTGCATTATATGCTGTGCAGGCTTGTGAAACAACAAAACTGGGTAGAAGCTAGTGGTGTTCTTCGTGTGTATCTGGAGGCAATTATTTAAAAAATAAATCTCCTTTCAAGACTCAATTCAAGTTATCAGATTTACTAGAGCTTCTCAAACATGTAGAAAGTAGTCATATTAATCCAGCAAGAATCAAGAACCCCCATGATGTTTGGATGAGGAAGAGTGATCAATGAAGGATAGGCGGTCAGGGAACAGACATGCAGTTTATTTGGAGTTCACATTGCTTTTTATGCAAGGCAAAATTGAGGAATTATATCAAGCTGTTCTATGATGTTTTTTCTCCTTTTGGTTGTTAATGCTTAATCCTTGCTTGATGATTGTGTATCTGAAATCAGTGGTTGATGATTGCAAATCATTCTAATGTTATCATCTGCATTATTGGGAATATGCTTTCTAGGACTTCCTAGATTGTTCTAATCCCCGGGAAAATATAATAGTTTCATTTTCAATTGAGGCAAAATTGCTAGCTGATAATTGTAGTTACCATATTCCTTAATTTCAATGTTTGGTGAATGGTAGTATCCTAGCAAAGTTTCTAGCTGGGAGTTTGTTTCTTGTCCGCTGTTCAGATTTGATCTAGTCATTTATGGTTTATTACTGTTAATCAGTCCTGGTCTCATTCTGTTGTGCCATCATGGGCTAATGTGTACTTTTAATTGTGGTGGTGTACATAAGCAACAAACGAACAACCATGACAGGTGGGTCAGCTAGGCCCCAAACAACTAAGGGTAGGCCTCAAACAACTTGAATTAGTAATAACAGAGAGCGAGAATGATGGGGTTTAATCTAGGTAAAATTTCTTTGACAAAAAAAAAAAAATCTAGGTAAAATTCAGAGCGGCACTCTTGTCCAAAAATTATTATAATAAAAAATAGTTTTGTCCTTATAATCAAGAATATGTTTTTTGATATTTTGTTGTTTACATTTACTTGACGGTTATATAAGGAAATGCCAAGTTTTTTTTTTTTTAAAATATAGCAAGTGTTCTTATTTGACAGCTGCTTATTAATAACCATCAAATATTAAGTATTATGCATTTTTTTAAAAATTTGAGGGCTACTACTGCCCCATTCTTCATTTACATATTAATTTTTTTGGTACGTACAAAATCTTTAAAATAAAAAACAAGAAAAAAAAATTAATCATCATCATTTTCTCTTTAATTATTGTGGCTCCTTCCACAAGGCCACAGACCAAGTAGGAGCAAATTAAACTGCCTTGTTGAACATTTTTGTTTAGATGTTTTGTTTGATCTCTCTCCCTCTCTCAAAGTGGGGTGTTTATTTTTATTCTTCACTTGAAAATAATGATTTTTTTAATTTTCATTTTGATACTAAAATATGAAGTTCACGATATTTATTATAATATTCAATTCTCAAAATTTCTTTTTTTTCCTTAAAATAATTTCAAACAAAAATCACTGTAAGCCAAAATTATTTTTATCAAAATCAACTCTAAAAATCAAGTTTATTTAAAATTACGTTACTCTAATCCCAATTCAAACAGGGTCCTGCATAGCCCAAAACGTAATTTACAGCCCAAAACCACGTTATGCTCGCTGAAAACCCAACGTAACACCATCGAACTGTTGTTCATCCAAACCACGTTACAGGAGAAGCGCTCAGGCAGAGACCCTGACCTAGCTTCTGTGCCCGTGTCTCTCCTCCGTCGTTGTAGCTCTCATCTGCTTCTCCCCGTTCCGGCGGCTTTCCTTATTCGGTGCCATCTGTTTAGCTTTAATGCTTTGGTGTCTACCTGCTGTCTGGGGTCGATCTCTTGGCTTCTTTGTTCTGCCATCTGCTTCTCCGATCTGGTGTCGATCTACCATCTGGTTCGTGTTTTACTTCTTACTTTGTTCACCTTCTCTGTTTTTAAGTTTTGCGGAAAAAAGCGGTTCCTTGATGTTTATTTTAATGTGAGGAAGAAAATGATATTCAATCAATGCAGAGAAGAGCAGCTTTGGAGAATATTTTTAGATTCACATAGAAGATTGGGCTCTGTCGTTGAAGATCGTAGGAATTAATTACATGTTTGTATTTTGCTGATATGGATCATAATATTTTGTGTGATAAAATTCTTGTAAATTTGGAAGACATTGTTGTAAATTTCAAATATTGCAATGATTAGGCTTGTTGTAAGATGATAGGAGCTCTAACTCCATTTTACTTTAACTTTGTATCATTCTGATTTTTGATTGGTAATGATAAAAAGGGTCCTTACTGTTTTTCTGAGATGTGTGAAATCACCTTATAGCTTTGTTAAAGTCGTGTAAATAGGCCAGTTTTATCATTGCAGCTTTCAGTTTGTTCTAGTGGTTGTTTCTGCATTTCGTTTTTTCCCGTCTAGTTTTCATGAAGATTTTAGAGTTTTTTGGGTTTCCATCTGTTTGTTGAATTGATTCATTACGATTCATAAATGTCGGAGGTAGTATTTCAATTGCAGCTAACCTTAATTTTTCCCCCTTGTTTTAAATAAAGCATTACTTCTACTTGGTGCTGGTCTTTAAGAGATTCTGTGGTGTTCATATTGAATTGTGATCTACTTGGTGATAATGCTTCTTTCTCTTGTCAATTTAGTTAGGCTAATTGAAAGCCAATATAAGCTCCGTTTGGGATTAATTTCCTCTTAAAATTCAGTTATGTTGTTTAAAGTATGTATTTAGCACACTTATTGTAGGCTGTTGTTTTAGGATGTTTGTTATTGCTATATAATGTATCTTCCCTTTTTGATCTTCTGTTGTGATGACCCAGACATTCCCCTTGATAATATTTGAAACATGAATGTTATTTGGTGTTACATTTAATTCAAGTATTGGCTTGTATACATCTTCTCATGTTACTTATGAATTTGTGGCCTGCTACGTTGATGTAAAAGTTTTTCTCATATGCATTTCCTTGTAGAAAAATGACCAACGACAAGTCAAAGGCTACATGGGACATGACAGCGACTAAGATTTTTATCGAGTTATGCTTGGAAGAATTAAACAAAAATGAAAGGAAGGGTAGTACCTTCACAAAGAAAGGGTGGAAAGATATAAGGGCTGGATTCAATGAGAAAACTCGTAGACAATATGACAAGACTCAATTGAAAAACAAGTGGGACAACCTTAGAAAAGAATGGTTGCAATGGGATAAATTGTTTGGTGAAGAGACAGACATAAGATGGGACAAGGCAAAGAACATGATAGATGCACCAGAGGATTGGTGGGCGAAGAAGCTATCAGTATGAAGTTTTTACGTTAGAAGTGTTCAATTTTATCCTTCTTGTGACTGTAATGTCATGTTAATTAATCTTATATGTGCAGGAAAATCCCCAATATGGGAAATACAGATATAAAGGACTTCCTTTTGCCCATGAATTAAATCTTTTATTCAAGAATGTGGCGCGTACAGGAACTTTGGCGTTGGTACCGTCTTCTGGAACACTGCCTAATGACACAAATGCTGATGTGCCTAATGATACCAATGTTGATGTGTATCGTTCACCCTCGAACGATGTTTGTGTGAATTTGGATGAAGGATCAGGAGACTGCGATGAAAATCCGGGGACTGCTGCTGGTGCTGGAGTCAGTGCTGAGCTGCAAAGTGTTAATTTAAACACTTCGCAGGGAAACAATAGTGAAAGCAATGGGAAGGGAAGGGGAAGAGGAAGAGAGTTGAAGTTGAAGGGAGCGAGAAGAAGATGAAAGTTCCTACCGCAAAAAGGATAGCTGACGCAATAAGTAGAATTGCTGCTGCATCTGAGTCGCGATCACAATTGATTGCTAGAACTTCTATTAGTGCAGTAATGGCTGAACTTCAGAAAATGGAGGCTATCACAAGTGATCCTGATTGGCATTCTCGATGCTGTCAACTCCTTCTGTCTCAGCCTGAAAGGGAAATGTTTGTAGCGTTGAAACCATATGAGCAAAATTTGTTGAATTGGTTGAAGTTTGCAGCTTACAGACTTTGATGACAGTACAACTATTAATGTGATGTTGTAAAATAGTCTATATAATATTTTGAGTGTTGGTTTTTGTTTTATGTTTTTAATTGTTAATTAATATGCAATATAATTAGTCATGCAATGCTATATTATAGAGCTCGTCTTTTTTTTTTTTTTTTTAATAACTACGCATATAAAAGTACTCTAGATTAAAATCATCCAAATCTACTTTTGTTAAAATCAGTTTTGATGGAATAGGAGTTAAATGCAAATCATGCGATGAAGAAATCAATTATAATTAAAATCAAGTTTGTAAAAGCAATCCAACTAGACTAAAGTTTGCAGACTCATCCAAAGCATAAATGGTAGTGGTTGGGCATCAAGCATCGGGTCCAGTAAACTGAACATAATGCTTCCCCCATAAGTTGGCCTATTCCTGGATGAGCGGGAGTTGGATTGAACGCTACCAATGGCATTGTTGAAGGTAAAATCGATTGTGTTGGTGTGAGACTGCTATTCTGCTAGATCTAAATTCCACTGGTATCATATACTACTTTTGGTTCTAATTATAAGATTTCAAGAGGTCTTATAATTAGGATTGGTGATAATATTAAGAATCGCAGGTAGTATTTTATTAGACAAATAAGAAATGTCCTTGTTTGCTGTCTGGTCATGAGCATCTCTTGTCTGTCACGGACTCTTTAGCTAAATGCATGCTTACCAAAAAAAATCCAACTTTTTTCCAATCTTAAATATAAGAGCTAGTTTATATATGTTCTTAAAAATATCTCTATTGATTGTAAGATATTTCTATATAAATGTATTTTTAATGTATATGATTGAATAAGGGTAATTTAAAGAAGTCAACACACATTTGTTATAAATAACTAACTTAATTAATTTTTTTAAATGAATTATCTAGTTCTTATATTAAGAACCAGAGTTAGTATTTTATTAGACAAAAAATTAAATGGAAGAGCATTATATTTTCACATCATTTATCTTTTAGGTGTTTGATTTTCTATCACCACCTTTGATAATTCCTTGTGACCATCAATTTGATCTTCTCAAGAATCTAAACGTTTGGTGAGACAAACTTTTATGAAGGAAATACTCGCCACCGCTCACCACTTTCAATTATTGCCAATAACGAACTTAAAAAGGATATCAATTTGCTACTACAATAATTTTCTCATCTCTCTCTATATAAAAAATATTTCTTATTAATCCCTCATTTCCTCAACTCGATTATACAGGCCTTATTTATATAATTTCTTCATGTTATCTAATTGATTTTTATTTTAAAAAAAACTTGTCATCGCATTCTTTTACATGAAATACATTATCTTTCCATATATTTTAAATGCAGTTAAGATATTAATTTATCCATCAAATTTTCTTCAATGAGCATCTGGCATCATAATGCTCACTGACAAAAGTACTCATGAAGATTTAAAAAATGAACAAAAATAGCAAGACCGCTGATTTAACCTAACATATATTACTTTTTAATTGTGAGCCCTACGTTATTTTTTTTAAAATATATTATGTTAGCCGGATTGATCCCAAGGATTTAGGAGGGATTAGGTCATTTAGTGGTTCTGATCTAAAATGTGCATATTTCGTAAGTCTTTTTTTGTAATTATTCTCCCCTTTTAGGATCTAAAGAATGTTTATGTAATTAAATCAAGATGAAAAGAAGATCAGGAACGTATTTTTGCATTTATAATACTCAAATTCGAAGAGTATCAAATTTATTCCACTTGACATAATTGACATTAGTTGAATTTCATCTTCTTATTTTAAAAGAATATAAATAATAATTTGTCAGCTTGAAAAACATATAAACTATTTAAATTAAATTTAGACATTTAATAAAAAAACACAAAGAGCATTAGATTGATGAGGGCGATCCTTTTAAAACAACATTACAGCAAAGATGGGGTCACACTTTTAACTAATAAATTTATATTCTCCACATATTTTAATAAAAATAAATAATTAATCCATGCAATTTTTGTGGTCGAAATTTATCCATATGATTGAATCTACTTAAGGTTTATCCAAAATTATGAGAATAAAGTAGTGGCCGAAATGATAGTTAACCAATTGTTGAAGGTAAATGATGTTGGGACCCATAAATGGCCAATTCCAACATCATACATTTTTATCTAAACCCCACCAAAATTGAAGGGTTGCTTCAGCTCTCAAGTAACATATAGATCGGTACGGTTTCGCTGTGGATAAACTCTAGGATGAATTAGAGGTGTTCAAGGCCGACCCGTTCCGGTCCCGGTTTTATTGGGACGAGACAGATCCGTACTGAAATTTTTCGGGACGGGACGGGGTCGTCCCGTCCTGGTTCCTTTTTTTTTTAAATTTTTTATTCTATTTATATAATATCATTTTTTCACATTTTTTTAAGATTTGAGAGTATTGTATGGAACTATAGATATATTTATTTAGAGTTTTTCTATTTGTTAATGATTTGAGATTATTGATTATTAGAATTTTTAGCAAGTTTTTATTGTGTTAAAAGCTTTTGTTTAGAGTTTTTAATTATTATTATATGTAATATTTTGAGCTTTTATTTAAGAGTGCCCAAACAAATAAAAAAAATAAAAAGATGTTTTTTTATAAGGTTTAAGCCCAAAAAATATAATTAAAAAAAATCAGATTTTATTAAAAAAAATTTTAAAAAATAAAAAAATAAAAAATAAATATATAAAAAGGTTCGAGACGTCCCGGATCCGTCCCGTCCCGACCAGGACCGGGACAACCCCGGGACGGGCCGGGACACATGACAGATTTTCTGTCCCGTTACTGTTCATCGGGACGAAACCGGGACGGGCCTGTCCCGGTCTCGATCCGTCCCGTGAACAGCCCTAGGATGAATCACTGTTTGACACTGTTGATAAACAATAAAAGCCGAAATCAACCTATGACTTCTTTCTTATGGGGGGGTTACAATGTCAATAGGCTATATTAATGCAAATTTTTTTTTTCAACATATGAGAAATTTTCAAATATACTATCTCTAGTCGTTATTATAAGATCTAAATAAGTAGTTTGGAGAGTTTAAAAAAATTAGTTGAATTAGTTATTTATAACAAATGTGAGTTAAGTTCTCAAAATTATTTTATTTAATCTTGTATATTAAAACTAGTCGTTGGTGGAAACCCCTTCACAATCAATAAAAATATTTTGAAAAAAACATTATAAATCTGGAAGACAAAGTGGATTGAAATATTACATTTATAACCAAATCTAATCTCTTAACTAGCTCTTATATTTAGGACACGAAGTAATACTAAACTTATTCATTTTTGTTGTTCTGATTTATTCAAAATTTAATACAAACTAAGTTTACTATTCTCAATTCGTGATGATTTAGAGTATCAACAAATGAAATATGTTGCTCTTCTAGCGGCAATATATTTTTGCTAGGTACATATATATTCTTATTAAAGACAATTGTTCTTGAAATACTGTTAAGTACTAAATATAAGTCTTTTTTTAATGAAAATTCAAATATTAATTTCTCATGTTTTAAGTTAAACCCAATCCTATTAGTTTTAATCGTGACATATTGCCATTAGAGGAATGTAGAGTCAGGAAAACGAGTGGAGCCTGTCGGGCCAACTCATTTAAGCCCGTTTAAGTCAAAGGCTGGGCTCGTAATTTAAAGCCTCTAAAGATAAGTTGGATTTAAAAAGGTCAGCTTTACAGGGTCTAAAATTAAAATGCCCGGCCTATTTAAGCTTGCCAACAATTTTTTTTTAAATTTCTATTTTTTTAATGTGAATTTAGTTCTTGTTTAGTTGTTTAATATGAACTTAGTGTTTGTTTAGTTGTTTATGTTTGTTTTCCATTTAGTTTGTATATTCAGTAGATTCAATTGCAGCGTGATGAACGTTTTGGATGTTGACATATGATGATATTCATGTTTGTGACTTAATTTTATTCATATTTATACCTTTTATTAATAATTTTATTGTTTTATTTTTATTATTTCAATAGAATATGCAAAAAAAACATAAAAAAATTACACTTATAGTTAAATAGGCCAAAAGCTCGCAGGCTAACCTTGAACTTGTCACCTCACAAGCTGGGTCTGAGAAATTCACCTCTTTTTGAGACTCAGGTTTAAACGGGAGGCCCATTTTCCCAACACTAGAGAAACGGGTTTGTGATTTTTTTTATTAAGTATAAATATCCTTTTATTAGAGACAATCTTATATAAGACACTATTAGATACTAAATATAGATATATTTCCCAGCAAGAGCTTATCATATTATAAAGAACCAGCTCTTTTTACTAGATATAACCTATTAATTAGTTATTTTTCCCCTTAATAAAAGGGTAAGCAAGCTTGCAAAGTAAAATTACGCACTAAATCCCTCTTGGAATGGAGTCCTTCCTTCTAAGTGGGATTCTGCCACTAAAATTTTACAATAGGAGAATTATTATGACGTCTAATGACAAAATTTAATTACCAAGAAACCATAATAACAGGTGACTGGTATAAACTTATTATCATTTTCTATTTTGAAACTTGTCATTGCATACTTCTTAATTGTCAATAGATTTTAGGCTAATTACACCTCTTATTTGCACTTTATACGACAAACCTAACTCACTTATTTGCCTCTTATAACATAAAATCATTTAAAATAAGCAAAATCAAACACCCCTCCAGTGTTCATTGTTAATTCAAGTTGTTGCCCGCACAATTTTCAAGCCGTCATCATATTTTGATTGAAATTTGCTGACTTGCACCAACCAGGTAGTATTGATCAATCCTTTTTCCGATAGAAAGGATTGGCATTCAAACAAACTTAAATTATCAGAAGAAAAAATAATTGTTGGGGTGGTTTATAAAATAGAGGCAAAGTTTTGAGGAAATAACAATCGTTTCAGATAAAAAGTTGTCATGTACAGTTGAGTCATCCTGTAAGGGGTTTTGGGGGGGGGGGGGGATAGAGCTTTTAGTTCGATCGGTGTACTGAATCGTCAATATACATAATATTTTTCTTATGGAAAAAGTCTCATCTGAATTTTCATTAAAAATACTGAAAATATGTAACAATAAAAGAGGAAAATGAAAAGAATAAAATAACTTTCACTAGTTAGATATTTTACACAGTCCATAAATCATAGAATTTATTCATAAATAAGACATATGGCTTAAAATAATTAAAACATTAATTTATATACTCTTAAAATAAAATAAAAACTCAGGAATCATAATCAATATTAATTAATTAATACCAACAAAAAGTCATGGAAAATGGAGCTCATTTTATATTTCATTAACAATAAGTCATGAACATTGTAGTTCATTTTAGATTTTACCCGATACATGATACTCAGATGTAATTATAAATTAGGTTCGTCCGCCATTTTTCTATGAATAGCCAGTTTGTGCCAGGGATGCAGGACTTTGAGAATTTGTCTAAAAAATGACTCCATAGGATATGAGTAAATGGGATCCTTTATATATTGGCAAAAAAATGGGGTCATTTATAAATACGAGTAATTAAAAAAGAAAAAAAATAAAGGAGAATTGTAATAAAATTGCAAATAAAAAACGTAATTACTAAAAAGTCTCAAAGATAATAAATAAGCTTACAACGACAAGTTATATAGTAGTAAACAACAATTATTCACCCATCATTATGACTTATTGATAATTACTTTCTTTCCTTAAGAAGTCATTATAATTCTCCCATGAAATAAGAAAAAAATCATAAAGAAGTCTTAGGTAAATAAATTAATTACTAATAAATCTTTTAAAACTGAGTTCCTTTAATAACATTACCTCTTAATTTGACTTGTAAATATTATATGAGGAATTGTGCAAATCTTTATCCATCTTATGACAATTTACATTTTTCTTCTAAAAGGTTTCTCATTAATAATTGCCCGCTGAACTTCAAAAGAAATTACAATTATACCAGTAAAAATTGGTTTTAGTAGAAATGTTTTTGGCTGCTTAGGCACGATATTTCAAGTTCAAGTGAACATAACAAAAATATGTAAAGTTTTAGGCATATATCACTATAAATATAAATATAGTTTTCTAATTTATCATATTCTTTGCTGGTTATTGTATAATACTACTTTTATTCTTAAATATAAGATTTAGTTTGTAATGTAATTTGTTCAATCTTATATATAAAATTTTGTTTGTGGTTAGTACAAACTAAATCTTGTATTTAGAATTAAATGTAGTAATAATCCCTCCGGGGGGAATACAAGATGAAACAATCAAATGTCATACAGCCGGATTTTGACGTCTGGCGTCAACAAGAAGGGAAACGAATAAATGTGCGTTAAGGAAATTCGGCGTCTGTCACTATTTTAAGGTTTGCTAGCTGTGTCTTCAAATCTTTGGAAGAGACATAACATATTGCGTTTAAAAGTATTTGTTTTAAACCAAAAAAACAAAAACAGTTCACACTTTGACATAGACACCATGTTCTTTCTTGAGAATAAAGCATGGTTTTTGCCAATCAACGCTGAGTTGTGGATAATGCATGGGAGTAATTCCACCTTATTTTAATATCACTTCTAGTTCTTAACATAAAAATTAGTTTGACTTTTATTTTAGTCTTATATATAAGACTCCAATTCACTTTATCTCTCATATTTTTTCATTTTTTTCAAGGTTTTGCAAGAGTATTTTAGGAAAGATAATACCTATCTATTACAAATAACCAACTTAACTAATTTTTTTAATCTACTCAAATTAATCAATTAATTCTTATATTAAAGACCGGAGATAATACTTTCTTTCTTAAGCACCGATGACGCCTCGCCAAGCTTTTTTTCAAATCCTTGAAAACAAAGAAAGAATTCTATTATCATGAATATGTATATAACATAATTATTAACTATTTGTAATTATGTATTGGTATATGTATTACCTTTTGGGAGAATTTCACTTAACGCCTGATTTTCCTTAAAATAATAAAGACATTTCTGATCAAAACACAATTTTACTTTGATCTTTTGATACTGCAGTGTTATTATAAAATTTTTAGTTCTTGTCTATAATAAAGACATATTGATGGAGGTTAGTTGAAAGTGTCCATATATTTTTCATCAAACTATTATTTCATAAGGATAAGTACTTCTCTTGAATTGAATCATTATGTTATGTGTAAAATCATCAGTTCAAATGGTTCAGTCCAATATTTCAACCCTCATGATATCTTTGGAAAAAAGAAAGAAAGAAAGAAACTTTGTTATCCTGTCTGGAAATTATTTCTAACAAACTTTTACTGTGTCTTAAATAGAAGTATATAGCCAAAAATCTTGCTCACATTCTGTGCTTGGAATGTTGGCTCATGAACTTTTGCCATTTTTTATCGATCAAATACCAGTTTAGTGTTTTATTCCAATTGGTTATTACTTGTAATTGACTCACATGCAAAATCCGCGAGTTGTTAATGGTTGGAATGTTGCATGGAAGAAATTCACGACTTTTTATAGATGTTAGAATTGATGGATGGACGGATTGTCGCTTTGGACCATGCACGTCGTCCTGGAGGGAAATGAATTGCTGGGCCGTGATAAATACCACTCTTATTCTAAATATAACTTATATGAAAAAATTTCGAACCTAAATATAAATCAGTAATTTTTTTTTTTTAAAATCAGGGCAGAATCACATGTAAGAATTAAGATCAGGGCAAATTTATATCGTTGAAAAGATCAAAAGCAATGTTCCTTTGGGACATCCGATAAAATTGAAACAACACGGAAAAGATTAGCAGGATGGCTGTGCAAGGATCACACACACAAAAGCAAAATTGCACATGAAAAATAAAATCAAAATCAAAATTACACATCAATCCTTAAATAAAAACCACGATGTTATTATTATTTTTTTGACAATGGTATTATTATTATTATTTTTATTCATCTGCTCCTTAACATAAAAACTATTCAACTAATATGATTAGATTAAAAAAGTTAAGTAAGTTAGTTAATTATGAGAAATATGATATTTTTTCTAAACACTGTAATTATCTTCCTTAATATTCTTTTCTTCTTCTACTTGATTATAATTAAAAGAGATCTATATGGGTGATTTATAAAAAATTAATAAATATGAAAGATATATATTATATTTAAAATTAAAATTACGTTAATAATTAGATTTTATATTAAAAAACCGGAGAAATAATTATTAGTCGCTTGCCAGCCGCACTAACACGAGGTTGATGAATGATGCTGACTGCATCGTTTTGCACGCACGCTTCTGCTTCGCTTTCTTCCAAGAAATATCCAACCATTTTGCATACAAAGAGGCCCCACCTTTTGCCCTCCTAAGGGTAGTGGTGGGCCCCACGCCCACCGCCCACCATTTCGCAGTCCTCATTGCAGCTCCTTCCACGTCATCATACCACCTCTCTTCCAAACACTGCCCTACTCCTTTCTCTCCCTTCAACACAACGCCCTTCTCCACCGTCAATATTTCCCATTTTCCTATATATTTATTTATTATAATTCATGGGCAAAAAAATAAAATAAATCATCAATTAAATTCATATATGCATGTTAAAATTGTTATTTAATAATTTAGATTGTGTTGATTAATTTAAAATATTGAAAAATATTTCAAATTAATTATTGTTTTAGATTGTGTTACATGGATTAAGAATATTAAATGGCTTAAATCATAACAAAATCTAATAACATTTGGTTAAAAAATATCTTAAGTCTTCGTGTTTTTGAATTTTCTGTTAACTAAAAAATATATAAATTGAATGAAATGTTTATCGACTATTATAATTGCCAACCCACACACACACTCTTTAGCGTAGTATTCCATATTAATAATGAATAATATGGTTTATTCTTTGAATTTTATACAATACACCAATTCAATGTATCCAAAAAGGATATTAAATTTATCCAAATATACAACCTTCATGTTTGATAAAATTAAATGTTTTAAAATTTATAATTTAATCCAAAATTTTAACACCTTAAAAAATATTTTATTAAATATTCTAAAATCCAATTCTATTAAACTTGGCCTCATAATCTAATTATCTATCATCATTAATTATATTGGTATGATTTCCCAATAGAAGGAAGGGACTACGATTCTTGAGTTTGAAATAATGTAACGACAACAAAATACCGCAGAAAGAACTATGCTCTGATTTGATTGATAATGCTAAAATTAAATATCAAATAATTATATTAAAAAGATGAAAAGTTTGTAGATAACCCAACTCCCATCCCTCGGAACTTTGTGCCATGTCCAGCAGTTCAAGAACCCTCCAAACCAGTGAAAGTAGTTCTTGTCCCTTTCCTAGTTGCAAGTTGCGAATCGCAATACTTACATCTCTCCCTCTCTCTCCCCCTCCCCCTCCCTCTCTCTCCTCGCATTTAATGATACGTGAAATGCTCAACTTCATAGAATAACGAGTACTCGTCTTTTACCTTTATCATACGCAAAAGAATGCAGCAATCAAACACCACGTTGGATAATTTGTTTCTTGTTTGCTTCCAGTTCTGACCACTCATCTCCTTCCACGTGTCTTTTTTGGCGGTTCTTGTCTTTCTTTTCCGCCTCCCTCAATCCTGATTCCTCCTCCTGACTCCTATTTCTCAAGCCACCTCTTCCTCCCACTCACTCCTGTTCCGTTCACTTCTTCTTCTTCTCGAACTTGATTGTTCAGAGAATAACAACAATGGAACGGTACGAGATAATCAAAGATATTGGGTCTGGGAATTTCGGTGTTGCCAAGCTGGTTCGAGAGAAACGGACCGGCGAGTTCTTCGCCGTTAAGTTCATTGAGAGAGGCTCCAAGGTTGTTCCAGCTTTTCTCTGTTTATTTATCTTGGCGTTAATTAATCGGATTCTTCTTCTTACCTTATTCTTCTTCTTCATCCCTTTGGCTCTGCAGATTGATGAGCATGTACGGAGAGAGATCACAAATCACAGATCCTTGAAACATCCTAACATCATTCGATTTAAAGAGGTAAGTAAGAAAGGCCCATTATTTCTGATCTCAACCACTAAACTCGGAAACACAAGTTCTTTGTAATTCCTTCTTGTTTCAACAGAGAAGAAGAGATTCAATTTTCATTGTGAAGTTGATTGAACTAATTGAGATTCTTCATTGCTCAGGTTTTGCTGACTCCGACTCATCTAGCTATAGTCATGGAATATGCGCTGGGGGAGAACTTTTTGAAAGAATATGTAATGCGGGAAGATTCAGTGAGGACGAGGTAGTTTAATTTCAGTTTATAATAATTATAATAATGATTTGATAATTGATGACTCAAAACCTTCAATCACTTTACTTGATAGTGCCTTTTTTCAAACACCCCATTATATATATATATATATATATATATATATTAGTCATCGTCGTCTGATTTCTTATTCGCAGACCAGATATAAAAAAATTGCACACACCAACTTATTCCTGTTCTAACAGTTCTCACTGTCGTTTACTTTTTGCTCAATACAGGCAAGATACTTTTTTCAACAATTGATCTCTGGTGTGAGCTATTGCCATTCCATGGTACTTCTCTTCTTGTGATGATTCTTATGATTGGTTTGTTGAGTATAGTTAAGTGTCCCAATAGTTTTGCAGCTTAGTGTCATAAAAGTTTCTCTATAAGTGGGAGGTTACAGATTCGATTCCACTTATAATTTTAGGCTGTCAGTGCATTCTTCTTTAATTTAAGAAGAGTTTAATTAGGTATATTGAAAAATGATGCATTTGCTTCAGGAAATCTGCCACAGAGATCTCAAGCTGGAAAACACATTGTTAGATGGAAGCCCAGCACCAAGACTCAAGATATGTGACTTTGGTTACTCAAAGGCAAGGATTCATTAATGATAATTAATCTCTTAATCTTAGTTTAATAAAGTTTGATTCTGTCACAATCTTGTTTCTTTATGCAGTCTTCTGTTCTGCACTCTCAGCCAAAATCTACGGTAGGAACACCTGCATATATTGCGCCAGAAGTATTATCAAGAAAGGAATATGATGGGAAGGTAACTTTACACATCAAGTTTGTATCTTTCTTTTTCTGTCAAGTTTGATCCAAAAAGACAATTCTGATAATTGATCTCGTTGAAACATCAAACTTTGGAATCATGTGATTAGATTAGTGGCCACCTAATAATGTAGTCCTGATGAAATGCATTGTTCTTATCCTTTGAGAATAATTAGGTTGCAGATGTTTGGTCTTGTGGGGTGACTTTATATGTGATGCTGGTTGGAGCTTATCCTTTTGAAGATCCGGAAGACCCAAGAAACTTCAGAAAGACGCTTCAGGTATGTGATTAATTATTTGTACCACCAAACACGCCCTAACAAAATCTTATCATGATGAGTTTGGCCGTTTAATTTGGTTGGACTTCTCCAAGTGTATTATTCTTAATCACTCGTGTATTGATAATTTTTTACTTTTTTTTTTGATAAAAATATTAATAATTTTATATGTTTTTTTATAATTTATTGATGCTCTGATCATGTTTTTGACAGAGAATCCTTAGCGTCCACTATTCTATTCCAGACTATGTTCGTGTCTCAGAAGAATGCAGACACCTTTTATCCAGAATATTTGTGGCCAACCCTGAAAAGGTAAACATTAATTCACACATTTGTCCTCGGCACTTTTTCCCCTTAAAAAATATAGTTTTTTGTTATTAATTTATTGATCGAACTAAAATGTTATTGTAGAACTAATAACAATGAACCCCAACAGGTTAATTTATTGATCAAGACAGAATGGTCTTTCCTTTAATTAGAAATGGATCCCCTTTCCGTTGGATAGGGTATGCTCATTTCTGACATAAATTTTTTTAAATTATTTAACTAGATGTTAATAATTCAAATATTATATATTATTTTATTTTATTTTCTTAAAAAATAAAATATAGAATTATTAATGTTCTATAACTGTCAACATGAAATATACTATCTAAATTTATAAACTAAAATCTAAACCATTTAGATCATATCTAATTTAAATATCTTACCTAGATCTTTGTTTTTTTATTAGGGTAAAAGTGCACATTAATTTTTTTTAGTAATATAATTTTACTTATGATTTTTTTGGGGTGTTTTTAGTACCCAATACTATGTTTTTCAAGTTACATTTAGCATCCTAAATTTTGGAAGCGTGTGTTTGTTTGTGACAGAGAATTACTATCCCAGAAATAAAGAAGCACCCATGGTTTCTATATAACTTGCCAATAGAATTTATGAACGAAGGGGGAATTGGGATGGAATTCGAATTGGAAAGTGATGGGAAAGAAGAAGGGAGTCAGAGCCTACAAGAAATACTATCCATAATTCAAGAGGCTAGAAAAGCAGGGGATGCTCCTGATAACAACAACAACAATAATAAGCTGGGAGGCCAATTCGTTGATGGAAGTATGGATCTTGATGATATTGACACAGATGCTGACATTGACGATGATGTTGAAACAAGTGGTGATTTTGTCTGTGCCCTGTAGTAGTAGCAGTTGTTCTTGTGCTCGTCAATTCAATTTCCTCTCATCATGTCTTTCTCTTCACTGAATGGACAGTTTGTTATTGTACTTCACTCTCATGTTAAGCTTGATGTTTCATATTTAGTACTCATCGTCTTGTTACAAGAAACAATTACTAAAAGTATACGATTTAAAATATTAGATAAAAGCAATAAATATAATATATACTTACAATTATATTCCTTCCGGTTCTATTTATAAATTTTAAATTTAGAAAGGGGTGGTTTATTTTATAAGTTTTAATTTGAATTTATCTTAACATTTAATACATTTTTTTAATGTTGTTCTTAATT